AGATGGCCTCTTCTCTAGACATATGGAAATAGCGACCAAACTTGGGAGTCTATGTTGTGACTGATGCAAAAAAAAATTTAGGCGCCGACTACCTTGGTGAATATAGATGTATTTTCCAAGGAAAGACGTAGGGAAGAAAAAGCTAAGAATTAAGGTGTTGGGGGCAGGCTAAGGGAGAAAAAGAAGGAAATAACTATCAGAAGAGATGCAACAAAGTACCAATAGAAGAATTTACAGAGGCAAAATGTTACAACAATTCTAAGGCCTCTCCCTACACACCCACAACCACACACACCCCTACCTCCCTTAACACACACTTTAATCCCTAGTCACGCTGTTTAGCATAGTATAATTATTTTAGTCTCTAGACTTAGGAGCTTCTTAAGGTCAGAAGCCTTGACTAGTAGTGTATTAGTATTCCAACTGTATTGTTATTTCACGATGCCCAGCCCAGTAATTTGATCATTGTTAAAGCTTGGGGTACCTGGAAAGATAGAGTAGTATTTCAAAAGATGAAAGCAATATAGCATTACGAAAACTGATTCTTTGGAATCAGCCCATCTTGGTGTAACTAAATTCTACTGCTTAGAGATGGGGCGCTATCTGCTCCCATTCCCTCCCCAGGCTGTTTGCTTATCTACTAGTGATGTTTGTATTGCTATTGACAAAGAATTTTCTTGAACATTTTTCCATTTGCTCCTCTCACAACCCCATGAAGTAGATCCACATTATACAGATATGGGGGTGTGCTTTTCAAATTGCCTTGACCAGAATTACATAGCTAGTAAGTGGTCAGGCTAGAAATGAAACTCGGGTTTTCAGATTTCTAGTTCTAGTGCTGATCCTTCTCAAGCATAAAAGAGTAGTCACTGGGAAGGAAGGAAGGAAGGAAGGAAGGAAGGAAGGAAGGAAGGAAGGAAGGAAGGAAGGAAGGAAGGAAGGAAGGAAGGAAGGAAGGAAGGAAGGAAGGAAGGAGAGGAAGGAAGGAAGGAAGGAAGGAAGGAAGGAAGGAAGGAAGGAAGGAAGGAAGGAAGGAAGGAAGGAAGGAAGGAAGGAAGGAAGGAAGGAAGGAAGGAAGGAAGGAAGGAAGGAAGGAAGGAAGGAAGGAAGGAAGGAGAAGGAAGGAAGGAAGGAAGGAAGGAAGGAAGGAAGGAAGGAAGGAAGGAAGGAAGGAAGGAAGGAAGGAAGGAAGGAAGGAAGGAAGGAAGGAAGGAAGGAAGGAAGGAAGGAAGGAAGGAAGGAAGGAAGGAAGGAAGGAAGGAAGGTTGCAGAAAGGCGATTCTAAGATGGGAAGAAAACAGTGAAAATGCATAGCCATGATTAAGGAAGGCGGGTAACTGGCAGCAAGTCCTGAAAGAAGTGGATCAGGACAAGATGGATAGGAAACCAGGGTGAAATGAAAGATGAGGACTGGAGGAAGGGTGAAGCAGAAATTTGAAGATAGAGGGAAATGGGTATTATAACTGCCTGGCCACCAGGTAAACGTGATGCTGGTATGGAAACTGTAGAAGGTAATCATGTCTGATAAGCAGACGTTTGTGGTACCCCCATTTGCCACACATTTGTAATTCCTTAGCACTGTAACTGCTTGGAAACAGTGCAAGGAATCGCCCAAGTCAGGGTGGTTACAGGGCTAAGGGATTCTAAGATAATAGTTGGTCCACCCTGGGGAGTCTAGAACACTAATGTAGTCTAGGACAGTGGTTTTCAGTCTGTCCTTCAGAGCCTTAGAGTTCCACCAGTGAGTTATGTTGGGAGCCTTCCTCTAATTTTTTTCAAGACAAATTTTTATTTGTATATTACTTACTAGAGTCCTATTCAAATTCTCATTTGAAGAAAGTTCCTTATCTAAGAGAAAAGATTTTGTGTGTTACTGTGTGTTTGTTGTTTTTAAGTCACTAGCCTAAAAGAACAGGTGCTGAAGAGCCAGGAGTCTAAAGGATGGGAAAGAGCTAAGTCCCAGAAGCAAGGAACGGACCAGAGTGCATGTGATGAATGATCATGGAGAAGGAGAAAAGCCAAACAACTTTATTTAAAGGACCACTAGATTCACCCAGAATTCACCCTGGAGTGTAGACCTCCTAGGATCCTTCTGTGTCGTTTTCCTATGACATAGGCACCTCCATGGAAGAACATGAGTAGCTGTTTGTGGAGCCAAGTAAACAATCTCAAGTAATTGTAGTAGTAGTAGCATTCCTGAGCTAGGAATTGGCCTTTGTATTATTTTACCCAGACGGCTACATATGGTGATGCTGTAGCATACAAGATGCTTTCTTGTTGGGTTAAAGAAGAGCCTAAAAGTTTTTATAACAGTGTCTACAGTGCAGTGGTCCTTGGCTTTGGGATCAAACCTCTTGACAAAATAAGATGGAAAAGGAGAGCAAGGGGATAAGGAGATGAGAGAAGAGGAAGACACATGTATGCAGAGGAAGGGAAGAAGAGAATGCATCCGAGTAGAGTTTGTATAAACTTTGAGGAGTTCAGAGACCACCCTCCTCACCTTAAACTCTCCATCGACTTGAAGCTAAGACCTTATCAAGGTACCCCCAAAGAACAGCTTCCTATTCTGGAAGTAAGGAGTGGGGGTTCCAGGCAGAGGGATTTTGATAGACTTCTGGAAACCATGGCATTTTTACTTGGTTCTTGTCTGTTGCAAGCCTTCACATCCAACACATCAGTAACTATTGCCTGTTTCCTATTTTAATGCATCCATCTCTTGCCACTTGCGCTGCTGTCTCCCTAAGGTTGTGCTGGTACCTTACTTCCTTTCCTTGCTTTCTGTCTATTCTAGACGCTCCTTCCCCTTGCACATTTGCTTTCCCCTTACTCTTCTCAGTATCAGGATCACTTCAACGCTGCCTTCTTTTCTTGATGGCTTTGCTCAGGCCTTCTCTTTGGAAGGGTGGCTTCTGCTCACTTGGGTATACTAGCATGCCTGCTTCCATGCCGTTTTCCTCTCCATTCACCTTGCTTCTTACTGCTCCATAGCGTGTATTCTCATCCAGCTTGTCATCTGTTCCCTTGGATCCACCTTCCTCCACTAGAATGAGAGCTGCTTGAAAGCAGGGGCCTTCTATTACAAACTGTCCCCAGCACTAGAAGTGCTCGCCACACTCTGGAGATAATTGACAGATGAATGCTAGAGGGGGTACTAGAATGCATCCTGGAAAATGGCGGTCAAGATCATTGATTCTTAAAATTAGGTAGAGACGAGTCAGAAGATCTACCTCAGGAATGTTTTGCATGAAAGACAAAAGATGACCGACCAACTTTTCCACAGTTTTATAAGAAGGCCTGCATCAGTGGCAGGTAAGCAGTGACCTCTAAGGTTCATCTTCCAAGTGGAGGACTTACAGGGAGCACTCTGGCGCTGAGCATCCAGCAGAGTGAGGACTGATATGGCCGGATGACTAGAGCATCTCATTCTGAAAGATAATGACAGGGCTTACTGAAATCAAGATGTGCCTAGGCTCACTCTTGCTTTGTAGTCTGGGGACTGGCTCTGGATTATAGAATCTATTCCTAGATCGTAGACTATTTCCAAGGTAGGAATTGGCACACATACTGCCTGGACAGCTGCAAACGCAGACCTTACTGTTGCCTTCTTTGAGGAAATCTATATGTGTAAGTTCATGGGTGATGCTTTTCTGTGGAACAGATACAAGCAGAAGAAGGAGGTGGAGCATAGGTTGTCTGCACTGAAATCTGCTGTGGAAAGTGGTCAAGCAGATGATGAGCGTGTTCGTGAATATCACCTCCTTCACCTTCGGAGGTGGATTGGTATCAGCTTAGAAGAAATTGAAAGCATTGACCAGGAAATAAAGATCCTGAAAGAAAAAGACTCTCCAAGAGAGGTAAGCCTTGTCTTTGCCCACAGAGCCATGGAAAGCTGCCGCCAGAAGTTCGAACATTCTGCAGGAGTGAACGCAAATCAAAGGCCTTAGCTGGATGTAGTGGTGCACACTTAAATCCCAGCTACTCGAGAGACTGGAGGCAGAAGGATCCCAAGTCTGAGGTCTGACTGAGCTACACAGTGAGTTCAAATCCAAAGGAGTGACTTGAGATACAAAACAAAAGGTCTTACAACAAAAATTAGAAAACACTGGAAAAGTAGCTCAGTGATGGAGAACTTGTCTAGCATGGACAGAGCCCTCATTTTATTCCTCAGCACTGCAAACACTACATCTTTCTAGGTCTTCGTAAAAACATTGTTGACTTTAGGATACGTGGAGAAAGGCTTATGGTTCGCCAGGGTAGCTTTCTGCTTCCTTATGGCAGCTGTCCCTGGTACTCTCTAATCTAAGGCACTTAGTTGTAACTGGGTGGTAGCAAGGAAGTACTTTTCCTTCAAATTGGAACTGGTTTTGACTGTGGAAAGAAGGCCTAAGGAGGGAGGGCTGTTATAATCTACTTAATTATTGGAGAGAAGAGAAAGGCCAGCATTAGAGTAAGTGGGGGAGTAGAGGAGGAGAGAAAGCAGGAAGATGAAGCAAAGGAGTGGGGAATGTGTTTAGGTCCGGGAAAGACTTAGAACTTATTGCACACTGTAGACCAGTTGCACACTTGTAGACTAGGTGATCGTCCAGGTAGGAGCCAGTGCAGCAGGGCCATCTTCATGTGCAGAATGCCCAGAAGACTACTTTAAGCAATCTTGTGGAAGAGCTTTAGAGTAACTTTGTGCTCCCCCGTCCCGGAGCTGCTTTAAGAGTATATGCTTTGTGGCCACTTGCTCTCTGTACAGGATTCAACAGGAGCTGACTTGATCAGCCACCACAGTAGTTGATCCGGGTCCTCGCACAGCAGCTTTTTAGTTTGCCTTGTCCTCGTGAGCCTGGGAGCTCTCACTTGAGGAAAACACCAGCCTGGTCCTTCACATGGGATTTTCTAGCATGTCAAGGCTAAGGCTCTTTTGAGTCCTTCCCTGTCCCTGCCTTGCTGGGTGTATGTATTTTGGTTGTCTGTTTTGTTGTTTTTTTTTTTTTAAACCACTTCTCATGTGGTATTGAGTTGGGTTCTGGAAGCAATACATGAAAACCAAATGAGCACCTTCTACTTAACCAGACTTTTCCTTTTTTAAAGTTTTTTTTTAAGTTTTTTTTTGTTTTGTTTTGTTTTGTCTTGTCTTGCGAGGCAGGGTTTCTCTGTGTAACAGCCCTGGCTATCCTGGAACTCGCTTTGTAGACCAATCTGGCCTCAAACTCAAAGATCTGCCTGCCTCTGCCTCCCGAGTGCCGGGATTAAAGGCGTGCACTACCACCATCTGGTTCCTTATCTTTACTTTTTTCCAGCATGTCTGTATACCTTTATATAAGAATGGCTGGTCTACCCTTCCTCCCTTTACAGACATGAATCAGTCTCTAAAATACACTAGAGGGTCTCAGAAATTAACAGCATAATTACATTTGCAAAGGCTTTTGGAAGAAAGGTCTTAATTCTTTTCCACAGAAGGTCAGGCTGAAGGAACACAGCTCAGGGGTATATGTGGGACACAGCAGTAGGCTTTAGAATTTCCTTCTTTGGATGGGCCTATTTTGAAACCAAATGGTTTTTTTCTTGAGAGGACTAGCTCTCTCTCATTTTGGCAAAGTACTTAATACCTCTTAAGACTGATAAATAAAAGGAGCCATCAAGACGATTGATAACCTGAGTCTGTCCCCAAAAGCCATGTGATGGAAAGGAAGAACTGGCTCCTGCAAACCATCCTCTGACATTCACACGGAACTCTCCCCCACAAGAAAAAAATGCGTGGAAACCAAAGACACATAATAGAAAGGTGTAGACGTAAGTCACAAAGCAATCCCACACCAGTTTGGAATTATGATTAATAAAGGGGTTATGTATTTAAAGGGAAAACTTACAGATCACTGTCCTAGACAACAGCCCTCTGGCGACCAGGAACAGAGTCTAGTAGCCGGAAGAGAGAGAGAGAAAGAGAGAGAAGGGCTACTGCTGCATTTTTAAAGCAGAAGAAACCACGCCCAAGTGGACTGGTATCTTAAAGGCTATTGGCTGAAGAAGCAGAAGGAGCTCCCGCAGCAGAAAGGGAGTGAGTTTTGAGTGTAGAGCTTTTTCAGCACCAGAAGACTTGAAAGCCTATGTGATAAAATGGGTAAAATGACAAATGCACCTCTAAAATTAATTTTCTTCTTAGGAATCAACTTCTCACTCATCTCTTCCAGAGAAGCCTCCAATGAAACCCTTCATACTCACGCGGAACAAGGCTCAAGCCAAGTAGGTAGTGCTGCAGACTGCCCTGCCTTCGCAGCCCAGTTTTGAGGGTTCCATGCAATGCTCGGGTAAATTACAAAACAGACGGGTGGTTTTTTTTTTTTTCAAAGTCATGGCTTCGGCTGTGAATGATGTTCTTTTGGCCAAGAGCCTTCCTGATCCTTTCTCCATGACTGACCTCAGGAATTCCCTTCACATCAGGTTTTTAAAAAGCCGCTGTAACGCAGAAAGAAAGCAGTCAGTCGAATGCAGAATTGCATACTCTCCATGGTTTTTTCCTATTATTGACACTCTTCCTGCCTTCGTGAGCAACTCTCAGAAGGACATACCTGCCTGCCTGTGATTTAATTCTGCATTATTGACGCTGTTCCATGGGGCTGCAGGAAAGTATTCTCTCTCCACATTTCAGAACCGCCCCTGTCAATTGCTAATTGTGTCATTGTGGAGTGCTGGCCCTTGGGATCGCCTACCGGGAGATGACCCTGGGCTATCTACCTTCTCGATCTCATGAATGTTCTTGACTTTAGTGCTTCCTTATGGATGCCCCCTTTTCTGCATGGCTGGAGGAGATTGTACAGGTCCCCAAAAGATTCCATGTAGGGGAATGAGAAAGACATAAGCACCCGTCTCGCCATTAAAGAGGGAAGAGTCTGTTCGATATTACTCTGTTTGTTTTGTTCTCTGAATGGAATGTGGTTTTTGCAGAGTATTTGGAGCTGGTTATCCAAGCCTGGCAACCATGACGGTGAGTGACTGGTATGACCAGCATCAGAAGTATGGAGCATTACCAGACCGGGGGATAGCCAAGCCGACATCAGGTATGGAGTGGGGGAGGAAGATGGTTAACTGCTGGTTCCTTACACCTTCACAGCTAGAACCCGAGCAGAGGTGGTCTAAGTGGAGATACTGGCAAGAGTCACCTAGGCTATGTCATTTCACCATTGAAACAAACGGCAGATGATTCTCAGCAGTACTGTCTTCCAATCTCCAGTTCTGACATGAGAACAGCAGCCAGATAGCAAAATCAAAAGCCCACTTGTGGTAATGGCAGAGCAGATGGTATCATGCTGGTCCCTGGGCAGTCAAAACTTACAAACTGAACAAAATATTTTTAAAAGGGTAACTCCTTCCATGTATTTAGAAAGTGACCAGAAGCATGCATAAACTGGAGGGCAGGCCACACTTGGAAGGAGTGAAGGGAACTTAAAATGCCTGGAAAGCAGGAGTTCTGATGTTCTGTGTTCTTGCTGCCCAGTTTGGTAATTAGATCATAGGAGGTACTCAGAGGATTCTTTGAAAGGGAAAGATGGGCAAAGGGAAGAGCAATGTGTGTATGTATTATGTAGCAGGAAAAATGTCGCAAACAGGCATGGGGTGACCAGTTCACTTCCCGCCACTTAACAGGTGAGACATTGTCCACCCTCTGAGCCTTAGTTTCCTTGTCTCGTTGACTCTCTTAATTTTGTGAAGGAAGCATTCTAATCTCCATGGAGATAATGGTCTGTAAGAAGTGAATTAGCCTGCCTTAAGTAATACAGTGGCCAGGCTCTGATTTAAATTCAGGCCTTTAACTTTCCAGTGTTAGTGCTCTTTCCAGTAGTGCAAACACACACACATACACATGCACACGCACACACAAGCAGTGGCCATTTGAAAGGTGTCCTGTTTGGCTTTTTTAAAGCTTTTCACCTCTGGGTATGCTGCACTTTCATTACATAGCATAACTAAAAGTCAGATAGAAATCTGTAGACTTACTGACTGAGGAATGAGAACACTGAGTTAAGGTGACCATAGCAACTGCAAAGTGATGAAAGATGTTCTAAAAAGAAGAGACACACACAGGGGGAGCCCTAATTAACCGGAGAATTTAACTGTTAGCAATGCAACAGAGATAAACAGGCATGTTGGTTCCAAACAGTTTCATGGTCTTCTAAAATTAAAAGTTACTATTCTCTAGAGGACAGAAATTCCAAATCTCTAATCCAGATGCTCTTCAACTTACCACAGGGCTACATCTTGATTAACCCGTGGTATCTTGAAACTATCCTGTCAAAATATCTTTAGGAGCTAGAGAGGTGGCTCAGCAGGTAATGCTGCTGCCACAGAACCATGAGAAGTGGAGGTCAGATGCCTTGCACCCATGGGAATCCTAGGTGGATATGCTGGTCTGTAATCTCAGCATTCCATGAGGCACAGAACAAGCTAGTCAACTAGACTAGCTGAAACAGCGAGCTCTGGGCTCAAATGAAGGACCTTACTCCAGTATATGAGCTGGGGCAGCACCATCGACCTTTGGCCTGTACATGCACATGTGTGCGTACACTCCACACACATGTAAAAAATGCCTTTACTACATTTAGCCCACTGAACCTCGCAGCTTAGCAGTATAGCACTATGGAGCAGGCTTTGAACTATTTCCACTTACAGCACCTTTTTATCCGGGAGGTTTGTATGGGTCTGTATGTATGTAAAAATAGGTAGGCTTGTGCCATTGAGATGGTCCCGCAGGTAAAGGTGCATGCTGACAACCTGACTTTCATCCCCAGGACCCATAGTGGAGAGAGAATCAGTTCACATGTATGCTCTCATAAACATACACAGGCAGAGAATTAATAAACTGTTTATTTTTAAAGACATTTTTTGTTATGTGTGTCTGCATGGGGATGTGTGCTTTCCATGCAGGCATGAGGACCTGAGTCAGCCCCTAAAACGCAGGTTTTTCAAAAAGCCCCGTGTGGTAGTGAATGCTCTGTCCTTCCAGAGCTGGGGAGGCAGACAGGAGGATCTCCAAAGCTCATCGGTGAGCCAGGCTAGTCAAATTGGTGAATTCCATGGTCATTGAGAGACTTTTCTTTGAAATATCTAAGGTGGAATAATTCAGGAAGATGCTCGGTGTCAACCTCTGGTCTCTGTGTACAGGTACACATATTCCCCACACGGGAAATAAAGCACACAGAGAGCAAAAACAGGAACTCTTGTTCATCTCCCATTAGAAACAACAGGAGCCAGAGACAGCATCTTAAAGTGCCCAGGGAAGATGGGAAATTGTATCCCTAGTAAACAAAGTGAAGACATGCTCCAAGGTGTGGTCAAGACGAAGGTGTTTCTCACTGTGTGGGGGAGGGAGCACAGCTGTCCAGAGGAGTCTAGAGCAGGGAGAGAAGTGGTGGACTGAACATGGCCAGCAGACTGGACCAGACACGGAGAGAAGAAAATGAACAGCCAGATGAAAAAAAAATGACCCAAAAAGATCTTAATTAAATACTTCACTAAAAAAGATCTGCAGATCTCCGTATCCCGGCATTTAAATAAATGAAAAAAGTCGGCCAGCACTCATCTATTGGAAGTGGCCAAACGCAGAACACCCTAAGTGTAAATAAAACAAACCTTCAAACGAGAAATCAAGGATCGATGATCTTAGCACAGCTGCCTACTGTTAATAGGAAATTGTGTATTTTAGAATACAAAAATTTAAGTATTACCAAAAATGAAAAAGCACTGTAACCATGTACCATATTAACAGTAACTACAGTGATACTAGATGAAGCCGATTTCAAGAGAACAGGATAATTTAAAAGATCATTTCAGACTGATAAAAGAAAGGGGCAGTTGCCCAGGAAGACACTTGAACTATAACTGCAAGTGCCTGTTAACAAGCTTCAGACACAGGAGGACCAAAGTAATCAAATGGAGAAAGAGACAAACCTACAGTCACAACTGGGGTTCTGCTTTGAGTTCCACATGTTGAAAGCATGATCTCCGGTGCTGCAGGTAGGGCTTTGGGTAGTGAATGGATCCGGGGTCTTTGACTTCATCAGTGGAATAATCGATTGGTAGGTTCATAATTTGGGGGTGGGGGCCTTGTTGAAGGGAATAGCTCCTTGAGGGCCCCTTCTCTCATGCTCCCACTCCGGTCCCTGGCTACCATGAAGCAAATAGCTTTGCTCCAACACATGCTCCTCACCATGATGTTCAACCTCACCTTGGACCCAAAGTTATGGGGGCAAATTATGAAGAATTGGAGCAATGAGTCAAAACAGCTCCAATTATTTTATTTTCAGCTATATTGTCAGTAGTGGGAAGCTGACCTACACAATTGAAAATATTAATACCTTTTTAGTAATTTATAGAATTATGTACTAGTAAGGCTCTAGAAAAATCTGATCGACACTGTCAGTCACCATACACTATTTGGCATTTATAGAACTATGTCCAACAACAGCAAAAGAAACATTTTCAAATACACATGACACATTCAACATAGAGGCCATCAGAATTTTCAAATGATTTTCAGAATCGAAATCACAGTGAATGTGTTCTTAGACCATAACATACCTGGGGAGTTCCCCAAATTTCCAGGAATTAACATGCCTTTAAGTAACCCATGAGCCAAAGGAGAATTACACTGGAAGAGCGCCAGAATTGGAGGAATACAATTGAAGCTGTGCTCGGAGGGGAGTATGTATGATGTTGAAAATGCAATGCTGGGGAGGAAAGACAATGAAACCAGCCCTGAGATCCTACTTCAGTAAGGTGGGAGCAAAGGAAACAAGAAGTAAGCTCAACTGAAGGAAACAGGAAAGATGGGAGGTCTAAGAGAGTTAGTTGGTTCCACAGAAGTTGATTGAATATAGGCATACTACTCTGACCCCAAGGTTTCACTTCTTAGTGTAGACTAGTTGTTCTCAACCTTCCTAACACTGCGACCCTTTAATACAGTTTCTCATGTTGTGGTGACCCCCATCCATACAGTTACTTCCTTACTGCTTCCATAGCTGCATTTTGCTGCTATGACTATTGGAGATGCTGGATATCTGATGACGTGACCCACAGGTTGAGAACCACTGGTATACACCCAAGGGACAATGTGCCCATAAAGTATGAAGCCATAGCATCCTCGTTTTTAATAGCCCAGTGTGGATACAGTATGCCTGGGTGCCCGTACATTCCAGAATGGATAAGCAAGTTTTGGAGGATTCACATGATGAGCTGCTGTGCTAACTAGCTGGAGTGATAAGTGTGGCTGACGCACACCTAATTGTGTGTGGAAAGGCCAAATACAAAAGCATGTATACAGTGTGATTTCATTCGCATGATGTTCAAAACAGGAGAAACATGTTGTATGTGCTGATTAAAAGCCAGTATAGTATTTGCCTTTAGTTGGGGATCAGAAATGCAGCTGGGCTTCTGCAAAGTTAGTGTTTTATATTTCTGTCCGGGGACCAGTTACACGAGCCTGCTAAGTATGTGACGATTCACTGGGCTGCATCCACATTGTCTTTTACTTTTTTACATATGTTTATACTTAAAATGCGAAATAAACTTGAACGCTACAACACAGATAGATGACAGTGAATCCCTGTGACCCACAAAGTAAAGATAGGAAAAGGCAGGTCATCTATGCACATATGAGCAGGTTACTGGCGTCTGTGCTGGAGGCACCAGGAGCTAACTACCTGGAAAAGCGAAGAATCATGAGTTTCAAAGTAGCGTAGTCAGTAACCGCAGCAGTGAGGCCAGTTTCGGAACAGCACTTGGAAGGAGGGAAGGTTTTGCTGTTGGGTAAACTCTAAGCCAATGTGGTGAGATGGCTGCCATCTTTTCATGCCAAGCACATGAAAAGCACGCATGATTAGACAATCTGTAGGAGTAGAGTTCCAGCCCTTAATGAGCTCTTGGAATTAAGCCACCTGGTCTCGCAAGGCAGGGCCTCCCTCCCTACACAATAGTGTCTCCCAACTCATTTTAAAGCGTTCTTTCAGACTTGTTCTTTCTTGTTTTGCTCTGTTTTGTGTTGCTACAAGTAAAATCAAAATTTGTGAGGACAAGAGCCAGAGAGAAGAAAGAGAAGGGTCACGTAAAAGTGAGAGAGAACCAGACTGGGTATCTATTCTAGAAGCCATACTTCTCCACTGTGGGGGAAAGCAGCAGAGTGGAGACCCTGGGAAACTGGATAACCACCTTGATCACAAGCCTCCCTAAAAGTTCAGAAAAACTTCACATAGAAGTTAGCAACACATTGTGATTGTGGTCGGAGAGCTCTGAATATAACTTTTAAGTAGATGAGTTGTGGGACATGTATATTATATTTCAGAATTAAAAGGAAAATTACCAAGATCAAATCCCACACAGAATTAAGGGGCTAAAAGAGATATTTGCAAACACTCCAGAAGGCTAGGCGAACAAAAGGCAGGAGGGACCCTAGCGCTTGGGACGTGGGGGTAGGAACAACTAGGTACAAAGCCATCCTCAGCTACCCAGTGTTCCAGGCCAGCCTTGGCTATAGTGAGACCTGTCTCACAACACAAAATACAGCAAAACAAAAATGAACAAATATGAAAGAATATTATAGAATGGGTTGTAAAATACTATTTGAAAAGTTGCATTGACTACAGAGGAGCCATCTGAAATGGGGTAGAGAGACTTGGCAAAGCTGAAGTAGAAGGAAAGAAAAATGAGTCCAAACCGAAAATGTCTTACCAGGTAAAAAGGAAAAAAAAAAAAAGAACATCAACAACAACAAAAAGACGAAAATCAAAACAGAGATGATGAGGAGTTGGAAGAGAAGAAAATATGATCAAAATATTGTATGAAAAAATAGCTTAAATATTTTTTAAACAAGGAAAACTATAAAGAAACTGATAAAGAGGATTTTGGATAAAATGACATATTAAAAACAGCAAAAAGAGCTGCCGTATGGATGATGGGATTATCTAAACAAGAAAGCCTGTCATTCAGGCTGAGGCAGAGGCCAGCCTGGGCTACATAGAAAGTATAAGGCCAGCCTCCAGGGTGTAGACCCTGTCTGAAAAAATAAAAACCAAACAAATAAAAAACATTATATTCCTGAAATATTTCACCCAGAATGACTAAGACTAGTTCAAATAAATTTTTAAAACAATTAAATGTCATAGACATCTCAACATTTTGCACATGATTTACATCTGAGGGGAAAAAAGTCTTAGCTTACCTGTGAACTATGACATGCTTCATGCTGTGAAAAAATAAAGTAGCAAATATTTAAGATCCCCAAAGAGGAAAAAATAGGACCAAGAATATTGTATCTGATAAAAACTCTTAAAATAAAGTATCAAATACTTAATATCCCCAAAGAGGAAAAGTAGGACCAAGAATATCGTATCTGATAAAAACTCTTAAGTATAAAGAGTACTGATGGTTTTTTAAATCCAGGAACTAAAAGTTACTATTCCCATGATCCCTCCCTGAAGAATTTGCTAGAAAATGAGATTCAGACAACCGCAGTAGTGGGAGCCATTGGTGGTGACTGGAGGACAGTTATTCTCAGAAGCAGTACTAAGTGGGAGCTAAGGAGGAATGAACGTGTAATACAACTATGTCTCAAAATGAGGAAATGAGAAAGGTGTATGCAAAGAGCCCCAACAGCCCTCAGTGATTACGCTGGTGGCGGTGTTAGTATAATTAACTATTCAAGGCTGTACGATATAAGGGAGTACAGATGAGTAATTGCCTGATAGTCTTACTCTGTCCTGTCTTTGAGAACTAGGGATTTTTCAATTTAAAAAGGAAGTTAACAGCAAGCAATGGTGTATGTAATCCTGATATAAACACATAAAAATGTATATTTTATAATAAATGCACAGACCTTTGCTTTAGGAAAGACTAGAAAAGACTAGAAAAAAGTGGCCTAGTAGTCACCATACCTGCTAGTCTAAATTGTGGCACTGAAGTACCATTCCCAGCCTGATACGGTGGCATTGGCCTGGAATTCCAGCTCTCAGAAGTAGCAAGTAAAGACAACGTGAGATCAAGGCTAACCTGCTCTCCACAGTGGGGTTCTGTCAAAAACAAAAGAAAAGAAAAAAATTCCTATCAAAAGAAAGCTGAATGTCTCAGAGAAATAGCTGTTTCTAATTCTGAAGAGAAATAGTCAAGATAAAGTTAGATAATGTGTTAAGAAGGATCGGGAAACTTCCATTTCCGCTAGCCAGTTTGGCTTCAGAAAAGATAATTGGGGTTCAGGGATGTAGCTCAGTGATAGAGACTCCTGCTTAGTAAGTACAGTGCCCTCTGTTTGCCCCACCCCCGGGACCACTGGAAGAGAATGGAGGCTGCAGTTGGAGCTCAGAGCACCCACTCAGTGTTTATGAAGCTTTGGGTTCATTCCCCTGTACCCCATACAAAAACAGCAGTTATCAGTAGCTCTAATACATGTAACAACCAAGCCTTTCTTACCAAATTGTTCCTGAATTCTTAATTGACATAGGAAAAAAAATGTATAAGCTTACAGGTGTCATTCAATGTTTCAGTATATGTATATATTGTATAATGTTTTCAAATCAAGATAAACATAGCTGTCTCCACAACCATCATTTTATTTAATTAAAAAAATAAAAATAGAAATATCATGTGATCTAGCAGTCCCACTACTGGGCAGATATCCAAAAGAAAACATTCAAAGTCCTAGCTTTTCTCTTCTCTTTTTGTGGCCGTAGGGGTGGAACCTTGGGCTTCACATATGCTAGACAAGCACTCTCCTCTGAGCTTAACCTCCAGGCCTCCCATAGCTCTTATTAGTTAGCACAATTTAAGGTTACCATTCTATGCAATAGAATACCAAAACTGGTCCTCCAGTGTAACTGTAACTCAGTACCCATTGACCATGCTTTTATCCATCCCTCCTGCTCCTGTACTCTTTCCAGCCTCTGGTAACCAGTGTTCCTCTCAACTTTTTTGCTATCAATCTTTTTGATTCCGTGTATGAGCAAGATCATGCAGTACTTTCCTTTCTATGGCCGGCTTATTTCATTTCATGCTCTCCAGTTCCATCCATGTCACTTCAAATGACAAGATGCTCATCCTTTTGAAGTCTCTGAATAGTATTCCCTCATGTACTTGTAACACATTTTCCTTATCCATTCTTCAGATGATGGACACTTAGGTTGATTGCTTTTTTTTTTACTGTGAGTGAACATGACAGTGGTTAATGTCTTCTTGACGGACTGATGTCATTTCTTTTGGGTATTTGCCCAGTAGCAAGATTGCTAGATGATATGGTAGTTCTGCTTTTCATTTTTAGGTAGCTTTTCTACTGTTTCCCACAGTGAGAATACAATGTTCAAGTGTTCTTTTTTCCCCACATCCTTTCCAGAATTTATGTTTTCCATTTTTGATCATAAGCTTTCTTTTTTTTTCTTTTTTTTCAAGACAGGGCTTCTCTGTAGTTTTAGAGCCTGTCCTGGAACTAGCTCTTGTAGACCAGGCTGGCCCCGAACTCACAGATCCACCTGCCTCTGCCTCCTGAGTGCTGCATTTAAGCCACCACCGCCCTGCTGATCATAAGCTTTTTAACTGAAGTAAAACTGAGTCTTATTGTACTTCTGGCTTGCGTTTTTCTAGTAACTAATAATATTAACCATTTCTTCATATATTTATTGGTTATTTGTATGTCTTCTTGTGAGAAACGTCTACTTAAGTCTAGTAAGTCTAGTGAGCATTTTTAAATTATATTATTTGGAGGGTTTGGTTTCTTTGTTTTTATTTTTGTTTTGTTTTGTTTTGTTTGCTATTGTATATTCTGGATATATGCCCCTTAATAGATGCAGGCTTTTCTCCAAACTTGCAGGTTGCCTCTTTACTGTTGATTTTTTTTTTTTTTTTTTTTTTTTTTTTTTTTTGCTGTGCAGAACCTTTTATTGCAGTTTGAGGTGATCCAATTTGTCTATTTTTGGTTTTGTTTCCAATGCTTGAGGCGGGGGACGGGGGGAGGTCTTATCAAAAAAGTCCTTGCAGGCCAGCAAGATGGTTCAGCTGGTGAAGGCATTTGCCACACAAGACTGATGGCCTGAGTTCTGTCACCAGAGCCTACATGGTGGAAGGAGAGAAACACCCCCCACAAGTTGTCGTTTTGTGGCAAACCTCCCCCTCAGAAACACACTAAATAAATAAAATAGAAAAACAAAGAAATCAGTTTTAAAACCCCTACTTCTTCCAATGTCTGAAGTGATTTCTCCTGTTTTCTTCTAGTAATTTTATATTTTCAGTCTGATATTTGACTATTTTCAGTAGGTCTTTTGTAACTGAACAATAGAGATCTAGTTTCATTCTTCTGCATATAGACAGCTAATTTTCCCACACCATTTCCTGCAAAAACTGTTCCCTGGGTGTGTTCCTAGCGCCTTTGGTGAAGATCAGTTGGCCATAGCTTCTTGAATTTACTTCTAGGATCTCCTCTTATGTGTTCCTTTGGTTCATATATCCGTTTTTAGGTCATTACTATGCTAGTTTTGTTATTATGACTTTGGTGAATATGATAGGTGGTGCTTCTGTGGAAACCACTGGCTTTAACCCCTGCGGACTATAGGCTTCCGAAGCCCAAGCTCCAGCCAACTTCTGCGTGAAACCGCTGAACTTGTAGTACATGTTGCCTGAGCCCAGCTTCACACAGCCGCTGCCTATGCGACCGCCCTGTTATTATGACTTTGGTGTGTGTATGTCTGTTTCCGTTTGTCTGTGTGTGTGTGTCTTTGTATGTATGATTTGTACATGAATGTGCATCTAAGTAGAGACCAGAGGTTGACATCAGGTGTCAAGTGTCTTCTTCAATTGCTCTCTATTTTTTTGAGACAGACTCTCTTTTGAGGCTGACTTGTCAATGAGCACCAGAGATCTGCATGTCCTCCTCCCCAGTGCTGGAAATGGGGTCATGTATTGTTGTGTCAGTGCTGGGGATCTGAACTCGGGTCCTTATGCTTGTGCAACTAGCATTTACTGACTGAACTATCTCACCAGCCCAAAACATACATATTTTTCTTAGAAAATCCTGTGGGTGTTGTATTATTGAGATGTGGACAGAGATAAATATGAGGAAGTTTATTTAATGCAAAATTACTGGAAACCTGAAGACCTACAGCAATTAAATTCAAACTCTTGTTTAAAAAATTATCAAAGAATGTGAAATTACAAAAAACACTCAAGTCAAATATCGGAGTGAATGAGACTGTCCATGAAACTATTTCTTTCATTTGATTCTTAAGCATGGTTGACAGTGTAAGAATTCTGTAACATTACCAAATCCAAGGAAAAGTAAATACATGGAAAGATTGTGTGACTATAATAAAGGAAGTTGGGGCTAGTAAGATGACTCAACAATTAAGAGCACTCACTGCTCTTGTCTGCAGGAGCAGGTTCAGTTCCCGGCACCCACGTGGTACCTCACAACAACTTGTATCTCCAGTTCCAGGGCATCTTCTGCCCTCTGAGGGCTCCTGGTGCTCATAACCCTTATGGAGATACATATACCTAATTTCTTTAACCTTAAGAAATGAACGGAGCAAATTGGTAGAGAAATCATTGCCTATAATGCTACATACATCTCTGGAAATTCACAAATCATATATATTTCTTAACTTCTGTGATCTCAGGTTTCTAGGGCTTTTATTGTTGCTGGTGGGTAGGATTGTGGGGGTTATTTGTTTGTTTTTGTTTTGATGAAGGGGTTGTTGGTCATTTAGCAAGATTCCCGAAATAGAATCCGTTAGTGAAGGACACCTCTATGATCTTGGTTTCTCTGGAAACTTCTGGAGGCATCTTTACTTGCTACCATTGCATAGCATGTAATATATTCAGTAATAGACATGTTCTTCCCACTCGTGCCGTCCCTGAGCTAGCTGTGCTCTGTTCTCATTGTCTGGGGTTGTGCTCAGAACCAAGCTGAGCTCCCCTAATGTTGTTGTTTTTTTTTGTTTTTGTTTTTGTTTTTGTTTTTTTTTTTTTGGTTTTCTTCTATTTCTCTCCCGTCTATCTCATTTTCCTGTGCTAGCTGATTTGAAAAGAGCAGCTCAGCAGCAGGAAGATCAAGAACAAAAGGATGACGAGGGTGACGAGAAAACTCTGCACAGACTGCGAGAGTGGGATGACTGGAAGGACACCCATCCCAGGGGCTATGGCAACCGACAGAACATGGGCTAATCTGCCTGAAGGGCGAAAGGACAACATGGTGCACACCAAGGACAACCTCAGCAGGGTGCAGTGAAGGCAGCCGTGTGGAATCTTGCTTTGCATTCTGTAGTGTCAAATAATTGCTTGTACCCTAGGTAATGACCAGAGATTTTGTTTGGCTTTGTTAGTTCTCATCATGATGTAATATGATTTCTCAAGTGGTCAGAGCATTAACAGCTCTATATAATCTATGACAATATGAATTCATTCTCTTCAAAAAGTAATAAAAACCCCCTCTATTATGTGGGCCTATGCACAGACGTGGGTATCAGCTGGTTTTGTTGTTTGTGGGAGAGCAGCAGGGCTTGGCAGTGGGTCTCTGAGCATCTGGAAGTCCTTGTCATGTGCCTTCATTCTGAGCAAGAGTCCTGAACTACCCATGCTTTCTCCTTGCCGCTAGGTGTGGTATGGGCCCTGTGGGCATCACCCATGCTCTGGAATAACGCTGTGCAAGAAGAGAAGGCACAAGAGTGCCTCTGCTGCAAGGCACTGGTTTCAGAAATTATAGCTGTGGGTGAAGGGACCCTTAAAGAATTAGTCTCATGAGTAAGTTGTTTCACGCCAGTGATCTCAGCACTTGGGAAGTAGAAGGAGGAGGCTCAGAAGTTCAAGGCCATCCTTAACTCCCCTTAACTCCGTAATGAGTGAGACCAGCCTCAGCTGCATGAAACTGTCTCTAAATAAAGAAAAAGCCTCTGTTATCAAACTCCTACCTACCTAGTCCTGGCACTGACCATGAGAAATGGGAGCTCCAGAGAGGATGCTCTGAAGACTCATCCTTTATCCTCCCGAGAATATTAGCCTAAGTCTTAAGATGAAAGGCAGCCACCTCCAGCCTCATTGGACCTCCTTGTCTGTGTGGCTCCATCCCTGGCCCGGCGGGAATGTATGCCTCTGTTAGCTGGCTGTTTAGTATACTCCTGCTGATCAGATACGTAGATGCCGAGAAGAGGGAATGGCGCCCGTGATGCTGAAAGTAGGAACTTTCTGGGATGGAGGGGTTGGTACCTCCTAAGAGCAGTCTATGATCTGCTTAGAGAACATCCTTTTGTTCTGTGGCTCCGGTCCACTTTGGTTTCCTCTGAAGAGGAAGATGACTCAGCCCTCCTTTTCTAGCTCCTGCAGTCTAGCTTTGCAAAGACTCAACTCCCTCTTGTTTATGGGGTGGGAAGTGGAGGGCTGTCAGGTGCTGAGGAGGAGGCTGTTTCGTGGGTGGCGACAGCAAGAAGGCTACCAATAATATATTTGTCTACTTCCTAATAAAGGATCCATCTCCCCCTCACAGGGAGGCTCCTGAAGCTGGTAGAGCGTGCCTGAGATTTCCTCCAGAGCCAGAGCAGTGTTCTCAGCCCAACTCCGGTTGTTGACAGGCTGACTCTAGCCGCAGCTTTGTCGTCTGCCCTTTGAACCCTACCCAGTAGTTTAGTTATTTACAGACTAGCCAGTTTGACAGACAGCTTTGTCCGGGTCCTTATAAGATTGTCCTTTGTGTAGCCTCCAGCTTCATTGAGCCTCCACACACATGGAGCTCAGGAGGCAGGCCACACAAAGTAGGTCCTAATCCTGGCTTTGACAAGAGGAACCTGTGTGACTTCATGCATTAAAACCCCAAAGTGTCTTCCTTCAGTTGATGTAGAGGTTGTCTCCTAGGTCTGGGATGATGAAGTGAATCGTGGCTACCACTGTCATAGGCAGCTAGAGGGTAAGGCTTTCATGCTGGTATCAGGGCCATGACTGGTCTGTCCAGTAGGCAGGAAAGGGAAGTGGGCAGGTAACAGGCATTTGCTATGAGCCACTTGACCCACTATCAACACAAAAGGCCTTGCAAAGGCAGGAATACTGCCCCATGCTACAGAACAAGATGCACCAAGCAGAGTGGTTTCCTCAAGCCCACCCTGGGTTTCTTATGCTTTTAATCACGAGTCTTTGGGCAACTTCCTGGTGGGAACATCCTTAAAACTAAAACCGCCATTTAAACACCACTGGAACTCTCCAGGCCCCCTCTCAGTTGACTCAGCAAAGAAAAGGTTGTGCTAAAGCCAGAGGGAGGTGGTGAGCAACCCTTCTTCCTCCGTTCTCCTCAGCACTCTGTGCCTGACGCCTCACTGCTCAGAAACCAAAAAAGCACCACCTTCTCTACTCCCACCAGAGCCAGGCCTTCCAGGGTCTCGGAGGCAGCTGGTCTGGGTGAGTTCCAGGAACCAGACTTCTCGACTTCTCGATGCTCTTGACAGGTTAACAATACTGCTTATCATGCGCATATTCATATATATATATATATATATATATACTGGTTTTGTTTTTATTTTCGTTCTCATATCCTGTCAGGCAAGATACATATCTTTATTCTCCAGTGAAGGAAACCGTCTCAGAGATGAATCAGTGACTTCTCACTGTCACTCAGCTAAGCAAACCATGTAGATGCTTAAGTTGAGGGAAAGCATTGGCCTTCTCTGGCTCTCACGTAGAGGGCAGTTCAATCTGCAAATGGCAGCCCAGTGCCCTGTGCACACTGAGGAAGCTGAGGTAGGAGGGTTTCAAGTTCAAAGCAAGCCTGAACTACATAATGAGATCCTGACTGGCAAAAGAAGCAAAAGTTCAATGTGGTGGGACACAAGACTTGGAAGTGGAGGCAAGCAGATCAGGAATTCAAGGTTGGCATTAGCTACATAGTATTGAAGCCAGCCTAGTAACACTGTCAAAAGAAAGAAAAGTGGGTCCTGAGGGAGAAACATAAGGCAAGGTGTGGGTGGGGGAGTCCCATTCATCTTTTATCTTTTCCATTTTTTTTTCCTCTTGAGTGGCCTTAAATTCTTGCCTCAGCTGAGCACTGGAATTCCAGATGTGCACCGTCATTACCAATGTGAAGTAATGTTTCCCATACTGAAATGTCCCGGGCACTCTGGCACCTCTCAAGACCCTCTTGAGAAAGACACAGCAGGGGGCCAAAGGGATGATTCACATCCGAAAATAATGGTGTTCTGGGTTAGTTTCAATTCTTGGGAATCTGTCACCTGGAACAAAATGTTTCCTTTTGTCATTTAAAGCTACTTGAAAAGGAGGGACTTTTAAAACTAAAATTAGTTCTCTGGTATCTGAACTCCAAAAGAGCTGCCTCTTCCACTTCCTTTTGGCCTCAGGTTGGCACATAGGCACAGTTGGCACGTTAGCACCCATCCTGGCGGGTCAGCCTACAGCAATTGTACATTGTTACCACGGTCTCCTTGCAAAACAGCCGTCTTCTCCACCTGCACGGCATTTCCCCAGATTCCTTTCTGCCTACTGCACAGCTAGGCTACACATCAAGCAAGGCAGTTTACTCCAGTTTCCGTGCCAGGGATGTTGGAGCTCTAGCCCCAACTTGTCACCCTCTTAGCCCCTCAGAGACACAACCCTTCTTACCCCTGGAGTGAGGAGCACAGGAAACAAACACGCGAAAGCAGGTAATCCTTGCTTTTTAATGCTTTGCAGCGTGTACTTCAAAGAAACTTCCTATTTGAAATAATGTGTGCACACAATAGTGAATGAGAGGGTATGATGAAGCTTCCTTCGCCTATCAGACAGCTTCAAGGGTTACCCACAACTCACTATTGACCTTCCTCCATACCAACCCATTATTGACCTTCCTCCATACAAATTCTATTGACCTTCCTCGATACCAACCCATTATTGACCTTCCTCCATACCAACTCTATTGACCTTCCTCGATACCAACCCATTATTGACCTTCTTCCATACCAGCTCACTATTGACCTTCCTCCATACCCACTCACTATTGACCTTCCTCCACACCAGCTCATCACTGACCTTCCTCCTGAACGGAGTAAGAAATGGAGAGCACCAGGTGCAGCACAGATTTTATGATATGGGGAATTGTTCATTGTGTGCTATGATACTTTTAAAAAGTACGTTTTACTGTAACCCAGTATGGCCTCAAATCCCCAGGCTCAAGTGATTCTCCTTGCTTCAGCCTCCCGGAGGCTGGAACTATGTGCATGCGCTACCAAGCCCAGATTGTGCAGGTTTTAAAGGGGCATTTGGATCTCTCAGAGATACCTTCTAAAATATGGGTATTCGGAATGGGATGATGCCCAGAGCCACAGTGTCAGTGTTTTCTCAAGCTGTCTTCTGCAGATCAGCAGCAGCCAAAAGGTTTGTGGCATGCTTTTCTTTGTATGCCAGAATATCTGCCAAAGGCGATTCTCAGTAAGCAGACTCTGAGAACTGGGTTTCACTTGTCTAGCTCCAAGGCTGCCTTTGACAAATATATGGAAAGAATAATGAACAGTCTTAGCGTTCAAATTCTTAGTCCCAACTGATAAGAAATCCCTCAATGACAGTAAAACTGAGCAATGTCTTAGGCTACCCTACTCCAGTGTAGTAATAGCAATAATGCTATTAGCTACGGTATAGTAAGCACCTGATATATGTGTGTGTGTGTGTGTGTGTGTGTGTGTGTGTGTGTGTGCGTGTGTGTATGTATAGATCCTAGTAGCTTTGTACAGAACATTTCTAATCCCTAAAACTGCCCAAGTTATATATTACCAAAGTCTGAGTATGCAGATGAAAAAAAATGAGGTTCAGATAAGTGAGTGTCCAAAGATCACTTAGCTCTAAGGAACCTGAATTCCAGATCCGCTGACTCCAGAAGAGCTTCCAGTGGGCTGCACTGTCTCCAGTGCACATAAGGCCTGAGAAGGCAGAGACTGTATCCCGGTAGCAAACTGCTCTCTGTTCCTGTTTTAAGCAACGACTCCATCAGTTTTGTTTGTTGAACCTCTCAGGGACATCTAAGATCTACTCACTGGGAAATTCCTACACACACACCATTCTTTCTACCACCTCCTCCTTCCTCAACCTACAAAGAAACTCAGCCTACAAGGAAATATCCCTGCCCCTTGCCTTCCGGGTCTGCCAAACCCTCTCTGTGTCTAGCCCTGGCTCATCTCTGCTTAACGGAAAGCTTATAAGCTTTCTCTGACCGCCTCTCACTCCAGGACTCCTGCATATTTTGTTAGCCAGTCAAAGCTCTCTTCATCTACCAGGCCTTCCAGAACAACAAACAACACACACTGGCCATGAGTGTGTGCATCCTACAGAGGAGGAAAGGGGACATTCAGCATCTGCTGCCCTTGGCCCTCGCTCCTGGCTCTGGCCCCAAAGAATTGAGAAATATTTTTTGAGACTTCTTTGCCACCTTTAATTAATGTCCCTTCTCGTTTCCTTATGTCTCTCCCCCTCTTTCACCCTACCTTCTG